AAAAAAAAAAAAAAGACTAATAAAACTAAAATTATTTAAAAACCTAAATCACCTTATGTTACAAGCAACAACAGAATAATGTGCTTAAAAACATTAAGTTTCACAAATAGTAACTTTATAATAAAAGTAAAATTATCCAGAGAAAAAATATAGAAAAAAAATCTCATTCATAGAGCTCATATGTGAAATAACTACGTAAAAAATAAATTAAAACTTATCTAAGAAATCTTACCAACATTTACATCTGTAAGTATTCGGTCAATGAACTGACACAGTATTTGTCTTGGCTTCTGTACAACGGTATTATATTCCTCTGGAGTGGCACTAAAAATATAAAGAAGTTTTAATCCTTAAGGTGACTCATAATTTCACTTGTAAAAAATTCCCTGAAGTTGAATTTATCAAATGTGTTTAGGTTCAGCGCATTTATAATAGTCTGCTTAAAAAATGAAAACTAAGTCTACATATATATTATAAACTGAGGAGGGGGGCGAAGGAAGGAAGTAAGGAAGGGAAGGAAGGACGCAGGGACGGAGAAAAGGAAAGAAAGGGAGGGAAAGAGAAAAAAATGTTACATTGCACCATAAGAATTCTATCTATGGCACAAAATGTACCTATGGAATCTAGACCTGCACTGCTCAAAATGGTAGCCATTAGATACATGAAGCTATTCAGGATCTACAATGAAGTTAGTCTAGGGCTGGTCAGATAGCTCAGCAGACTAAAAGCACCTGCTCAGGCAGGTGTAGCAACAGGGGTTGGATCCCTGCTGCACCGCTGCCCCCTCCTGGCCGCAATCCCCCCCTTGCCAGCCCTGCTCCCAGGGCGTGCCTGTAATCCCAGCACTTGGGAGGCTGTAAACAGGTGGACCACTCCAAGTCTAATCTAGTAGTGAGACCCTGAACACCCTGTAGACCCTTCCCTAAAATATAAAAAAGATAAAATAAAATAAAATAATTACACAAGTGGCTTCCATTGTATTTCCATTAGAAATACCCATCTAGACTTCTGGAACAATCTACATACAACACAATTTATTCAACACATAAATTCTAAGGGAACTAAAAACTTCAAGTTTTATCAACTAATTTTAATGCATGATCCTAGACTAAATTCTGATTCCACATAAAAATTGACAACTAGCAAAAGCTGAGCTCACACTAGATCTATCTGATGTTATTAAGAAGTTATTATTTTTAGGTATAATCATGGTCTGGTAGACTGTTTTATCAGTGTTTTTCCTTTATAAATACTAACATTAATGGATGAAATGATCTTTGAAATTTGCTTCAAAGTAATCTGCATTGATATGAAAAAGTCCATGAATTGATCATTATTAGGTGATGGGTGAATCAATACAGTATTTTTTCTTATTTTATTATGTTTGAAATTTGCCACAATAAAAGGTTAAAAAAAGTTTTAAAAAACACATTTACAGTATTTAGTTTTAAAACCAATTAAGAAACAATAGCAAGGAGGAGAAATATAATTAAGTATTATGCCCTGGAATCCTGAATGACTTCAACTTGACCTCCAAAAGGCCAGAAGTGGTAGTGCACACCTGTAATCTCAGTACCCAAAAGTAGACAATATAGTGAATTCAAGGCCAGCTTGAACCACACAGCAAGACCTTGTCTCAAAAAAAAAAAA